CTTTCTTGCTTCTCCTGTAACCTGCAATGCTTACAGCATGTATTTAAAAACTTGAGAACTATCTCAAGCCAAACAAGCTATTTAACTTTTAAACCAGTTATCTAAGTTGATTTGGCCTTGGTATTACTAATTACCCAAAATCAAGTACTATCCTACCTTCTGACATACATGCTTTAAGGCCACATGGTAAGTAAGTCGATTCTTGGTTATCTGCATACAAAGCCCGTTAATTTATTTTATTTTATTTATTTATTATTTTGAGATGAAGTCTCCCTCTGTCACCCAGGCTGGACGGCAGTGGCATGATCTCAGCTCACTGCATCCTCCACCTCCCAGGTTCAAGCAATTTTCCTGCCTCAGCCTCTTGAGTAGCTGGGATTACAGGCACGCGCCACCATGCCTGGCTAATTTTTGTGTTTTTAGTAGAGATGGGGTTTCACCAAGTTGATCAGGATGGTCTCGATCTCTTGACCTCGTGATCCACCCGCCTCAGCCTCCTAAAGTGCTGGGATTACAGGTGTGAGCCACCGCACCCGGCCCTAATTTTTGTATTTTTAATAGAGATGGGGTTTTACCATGTTGGTCAGGCTGGTCTCAAACTCCCTGTCTCGTGAGCTGTCCGATTCGGCCTCCCAAAGTGCTGGGATCACAAGCGTGAGCCACTGTGCCCAGACTCAAAGCCTGCTAATTTTTAAATCCACACTAATTTTTCTTGCAATATGGAGTCCTGTGGGGATATCTCCCACTGCTTTTAGCTACTGTCTGAGCAAATTAGCATGCACATACTCCTGAGCAAAAGAGACTGTGCAGAGCGAGTCTGTGGCCCCCAAAGTTATGCTATTGGAAAATACAGAAGTCTTTGGAATCACTGAAAAGTTCTGGGCTATATGTGCGTTTCTGTCCTCAAATGCAAAGATGTTCCTATATATTCAATATCAAGAACGTAGGGTTTCAGAGCATAGTTCCAGAGTCAGAGTCTATGTGAGTTCAACTCTTGGCTCCCCAGCTTTTAAATGCATCCGCTTGGCAAGTTTATTTCCCCAGTCTCAGGTCCCGATTATAAGGTATGAGCTATGATGGATGGGATGCAAAGCCTAGAGTGGATATGAAAATTAAATGATCGTAATAATAATTCACCTAAAGCAGGCAGCACAGGGCCTGGCACATGATAAATGTACAAAAGAGGTTCCTTGTTCTGATTCTAACACCTGCAATTGACACTGAAAAGGACAATAATGCATGAAAAAGTGTATCTTCCCAAAGATACATCAAGGCTTCGGGGAAAGGAAACAGGAATTAAAGTAATAAGAACTTTCAATATAAAATGAGTGGATCCAACTTAGTTAAACATTAATTCTTGATTATTTGCTTTGGGAAGAGGAAAGAACCGAGTACATTAAAAATAAATAACACCCCAACAACTCATAAACCCAATAACCACAGCACAGCTTCGACATGTCTTAGAACAAAATTCCCAAAACATCAAGAGACCTATATACAAATTAAGTTTAAAAAAGATTGCATAATGAGATCTACAGTTCTCGTAAGCAGCATTTCAGATTATTGGTATCATTAAACGAGCATACAGACTCAAAACTGTGTTCTCAGATTTGCAGCTGACCTGTGACAGAAATACAGGAACGAACTAGAGATGATTCCTTTATTGGGCTTCCATCTAAAGCTAAGCTTTACCTAGGCTTTCAAATTGTTGCACTTACTTCCAAAATCAGATATGCCACCAAAACTGTGCACTCTGGTCAACTGCCAGGAAAATTGACAACACAGAGTCCACAAAGATAAAGCAGGGAAGAAAACAGCAGTTTGACCTGAAGTCCACTCTCAGGTTTTACTTCCATGGAAATATTATATACACGTGTATTTTCCAAAGTTATAGAATATGGTTTAGAATCTCAGGAATCCTATTCTCATTGAATCACTCAACTAGGAGTATAAGAAGTTTCACAGCATGACAATGCCACTGTCAGAACTTAACTGAACCCCAGAAAGGACCCATGGCTGCCTCACCCAGAGGAGCAGGCCTGTCCACACACGCGCACAGACCATGATATGAATGGCGTCCCTGGAACTAGGCAGTGCATAATCTATATTTCTTAGACTTCCACCCTCAGGAGGGCCATATTTGCTTAGAACAGCCCAAGGCCTACGTTCTCTGGAAGTTTCCCAGGAGAGGTACTTTGCATTTGCTTACAATTTGAAAGCCTAAGTAAAGCTTAGCTCTAGATAGAAGCCCAGTGGAGAAAGCATCTCTAGTTAGTTCATCTGTTTCTGTTATAGGTCAGCTGCAAAGAGTAGCTTAAGAAAACGTAATCAAGCAAACACTTGGAGCAAAATTAGTGCTGACAAGAACCTTGTAAGCAAAACTTGTGTGCAGGTGAGTCGGAATGCGTTTTGTGGCACTGAAAGAGTTAACCACCTGTCCCATCAACAGTGTTTACTTTTGTGTGTGGCTCATTCACTTCCTCAATTTCTCCAAGAACTAGCTTATGAAATCAAATGACGAGGAGCCATAAAAGCTAAACCCCTACAGAGCACTTTCTATGAGCAGGATACTCTGCCAAGCGTGATTTCTTTCAATTCTCTCAACGATCCTCGAAGAGGGCACCATTTTACAGCCAGGAAAACAGGCACAGAAGTTTTGCTGGTGGTCACACCTCTGAAGAGGGGACAGAAAGACTGGAGCAGAGGCAGCTGTTAGGCAGTGAGAGATGTCCTCAGAGAAAGACATGCTGAAGTCCTATCCTGCTATCTGTGGATATGACCTTATTTGGAAACAGGGTCTCTGGAGACATAATCAAATTAAAACGAGGTCGTCTGGGCAGGTGCTAACCCAGTAGGACTGGTGTCTTTACAAAAAGAGGAAGATGTCACGCAAAGACAGTCACACAAGGAGAAGGCGGCCATCTGAAGGTGGAGGCACAGCCCGGAGTGACGCTGTGCAAGCCAAGGACTGCCTGGGGCCACCAGCAGCTGGAAGAGGCAAGGAAAGACCCTCCCCTGGAAACTTCAGGCCAACTCCCTGCTTTTGGCTGCTAACTTCAGAATTGCGAGAGAACAAGTCTGCATGGGTTGTTTTTTTTTGTTTTTTTTTTTTTGAGACAGAGTTTCGCTCTTCTTACCCAGGCTGGAGTGCAATGGCGCGATCTCGGCTCACGGCAACCTCCGCCTCCTGGGTTCAGGCAATTCTCCTGCCTCAGCCTCCCGAGTAGCTGGGACTACAGGCACGCGCCACCATGCCCAGCTAATTTTTTGTATTTTTAGTAGAGACGGGGTTTCACCATGTTGAGCAGGATGGTCTCGATCTCTTGACCTCATGATCCACCCGCCTCAGCCTCCCAAAGTGCTGGGATTACAGGCGTGAGCCACCACGCCCGGCCATCTGCACGGTTTTAAGCCGCCCAGTTCATCACGAGATGTTAAGCAACCCCGGGAACACTCAGCATGGCAGGCTCACCCCAGCTACTCTTTCCTGCCTCTGTTTTCTTTCCAGTTGACCTGACCTATCTGCTGACAGGCAGAAACTAAAAGTTTCACTCCACGTTCCTTTTCCGGACTTGACATTGCTTACAGGTAGAAAGTGCAGCACACTTTGAACTGTCTCTAACAATGGGTGTTTTTTAAATTGATTTTCACATTAGAGCATTCTACCCCTAAGCATTTTCTAGATCAGTCCAGGCGTCTCTGCTCCCCGCACCTCCAGCTGAGAGCAGCCTGCAGCACCACAGTACTCCAAGCAGTCACAACTTCAAAACAGATCATCTTTTCAAAGTGCAGTATCTGGTGGCCTGACCCAGTACATTGCAATAAGGTAGGGCCCGTGGGGACATTCCAGAATCTGGAATTGGATCAGCCCAGGCCCTAAGGGTCAGCACGGCCTCCGGCAAGGAGAGAGCTTCAAGAACTGCAAGAAACTGTGCTGCCCCAGTGGAACTCTGTCTAGTGAGTAGCAACACCACGCATACGTGACAGTCAGCTCAGGTAACCTGGCCGGCAGCTGCCAGTCAGACGCTGACCCGCAGATGTCTCAGGCAGGGCCGAGCGTAGAGATGAAAATCCAGAAGCACATGGGTGCAGGCAGGCAGAATCACAGAAGTCATCGTGAAGGTACCATAAGGGGTGTCAGTCACCAGGTTTAAGTGTGGGAGGCAAACTGCAGCTTCTCCAGTAAACGGGCAGTGAAGCAGGAGGGGGATGGTAAGAGTCAAGTGCCCAGCTCTCAGGGTGCTGCAGAAGCTAGGACTGGGTACTCACAACAAGACTAAGCAGGTACAGAACACGAGTTGAAGGAAGAAGATCACCCAGCATGACTGGGATCTCTCCAGTGTTGAGTCCCAGGGTCCTAGAGACTCCCCCAACAACCCCACTCCTACCCCCCAGGGCTGAGCCCGCAGAGGAGGGTGCGGACAGGGAGAGCAGAGACAGCTGCTCAGGAAGCAGCCGGGCTCTGACCCAACATGGACTTCTAAACGCCTGAGCTGAACTGCAGGAAGCATTTTCTGGTAGAACAATGCTAGGTTTCCAAGCTCGGAGAAAACCCAAAATAATACTCTGTATTTGTACTTAAAAATATTTGTATTTAAATTTGTAATTAAAAATCTAAACAGAAAACTATGCTAATCGAGAAGGGGTTAGTATGTTTTACCTTTGTGAGAGTACTTAGCCAACAGCAGGATTAATTAGGGGAACAGGAGGAAGAAGATGGAGATACTATCTGGAAATGTCAATATATTCATGGGTTGTTTGTAGTTGGATGGGTTTTATTTTTTTTAATCTGCTTTCCATTAAAAATGTATGTTTTTTTTTCTTTGTTGTTCTCTCAGGGTTGTGGTAAAATTAGATATGATAATGTGTGATAGCGCTTTGCAAACGGTAAAATGAGAGTGCAAATGAAAGCCGCGGTATTGCCATTACATGGAGGCTCAGAACTCCCATTATCTAAATAATTGCATACAGTTGGCTAGATGCAGCAAACTACACGACGAGGCCTCCTGGTGCTAACCAAGGCTGTCTTCCTGTACTGACTGAAGCAGAGAAAGAGGAAGCAGAGTAAACCTGTACCATGTGCACCTTAGCCCAGTCCTGTGTGTGCCTGGTCTCTACTATAAATGCAGGGAAATGAAGTGGAAGATGAAAGTGCTCTAGAGATGAATAGAGGCTGGTCAATGTGTATCACCCAGAGACAACCAGTGGTAATAGCTTCATATCATTCATTTCAGTATATTTTAGTCTACTTATTTTTACATAATTGAAATCACACTATTTCACATCACGCTGTTTTCACTTACATGCATTTTTCCTTGCACAAAACATCTCATTATCATTTGTAATTGCTGTAATATTCCATTGCATGGAAATAGAATTCAACCATTCACCTGTCAATGGAGAATGAGAATGTTTTCATGATTTATAGATACCACCTAATACAAATCACTGGGGGCTCTCAGAGGCCGAGCGGTAAGACCCCTCAGTCAGTGTCTCAGCACTGAGAGCCAAACTGCCTCCCAGCAAGGCTGCAGCACTGTTTCCTCCAAGGGCGACTGAGAATAGCTGCTCTGGCACACTTCAGCAGCACAAAGTGCTCCATGGGGGCACCTAGCAAAGATGGTTTTATTAGGTTGTAAGAACGGGAAAAACACATTTTATATTTGGACATTAGGAACAGAGATATATTACCATGAAGCTAAGAGACTTTCACTGGACTGAGCCCTGCGCATTCTCATTCTAAATAAACCATTCACTTTTGTACTTAATTTTGTGTGGTTTTCATAAAGTAGGCCCTGCCTAACCTGGATCCATCACTGTCTAGGAAGAACATACGAGGCTGTGTTGAATAAACCATAGACACTTTCCACAAGCACAGGGCTAAAATACATTGCCTGGCCTTCCCTGCATATGCCACAGCTGGGATTAGGTTCTGGCTAAAGGAAAGTGGCATGCTGGCTAGATGGTGATGCCCTGGGCAACTCCACTGACCGTTTTGTTAGAGTACTCGGTGACAGCAGAATTAATTAGGGGAATTAGGACAACAAACTTTGAAGTGATCAAAAACGACACTCTTATTGCATTGTCACTGATATTTGGGGGTCATTTATAATAGCTTTTGCATTAATTGCAGAGACTAAAGGCAAAGCCTTCCAAAACTGTCCATCCTGCTGGCTGCCTTCGGATGCCTGCATCACAACCGCCTTACTCATTTGGCACCTTTCATTCTTACTTCCAGCCCAAGCAAGCAGGCTGATTTATACCAAGTCTGCACATTTGGATCTGATGGCCTCAGACTTCGCTGCTGGAAACCTGCTTCTGCCATGCAGTATGTAAAAGTGAAGCCCAGAACCCTAAGCCACATCTTCCTCTTAAAAGCACACTCTGAGCAGCACAGGCTGAGCTCTTCCTAATGAGGAGATGGAGCGGGTGGCAAGTTTAACAGTTTCCACCAACCACTTTAGAATCCTGAGTTTCTGCAAAGGAGCAGATGTTCATATCTCTGACAACAGCCAGAAGCCTCTGCCAGCACATCAGCCCATTTCAAGAGAAAAACAGACACAAATACTAAGTATATGCCAAGTTTCCTCTCAAACAGCTTTTCCCCGTTTTCTTATTTCATCCAGCTTGATGTTCTTTCGACCTTGCCCACCACATATTTTCTGATCTCCTAGTGCTCACCCATTTTGCAACGATCAGACAGAAGGGCTCAAAATTGCCTGCACCCCTCAGAAACACATTCTGCTCTATTTCCAGCAACTTCTTCAAGCACCTTATCAAAATATCACCAGTTCCTTTGGGCCACAATTAATGCTCTCACCCCAGATGCTATAAATCTTTCCCTGTGAGGATAGTCCTCGTGATATCAAAGCTAAGAAGAGTCAAGCCTGGAGATTCTCGACTATAATCAAAACTTCTAAATGCCAGGCTGTTTTGAAGCCAGCACATCAATTCATTCCCGGATTCTTGGGGCTGAATAAGCTGCAAAAGGCAGGGGTGGAAAATTAAAGGCTCTATCAAAACAAAATTGCGATGGATTTCTGAATATTCTTCCAACAGAAAGGGATAAAAACAGCCATGCATTGTACACTTCAGCCGAAGAGGGCTGGCCAGAAGGGTTAACCATTTTCATTAGCCAAAACTAGCCTCTCCGCTTGGAGTTTACAATGCAGTGGGACGTAACTATAAGGTGCTGGAGCCAAAAGTGATGGGCAGTGGTGTTTCTGACCTGAGTAGGACCAGGAAGCCAACCTATCCTCCCAAAATGTAGACATGGGTTGCCTCTGTCCCCATACAAAAGATGACCTTTGTAAGAATGCTGTTCCCAAGCCAATGGCATTGTGCAACTGTGATATTTGAGGGCTGGTCTGACTGGTTAGCTCTAATGCTTAGAACATCTGGCTAACAAGATTAAAGCCTATCCCAGGATAAGCAAATTAGCTTTTCTCTATTTTAACACCACACTCATCCTTATCCCAATTTGAAACAGCTACACAAAGCAGGCAAACAATATTTATTGATTACCCATTATATGCATAGCATCAAGGAATAAATTCAATGGGGAAATAAGCCTGCATTATTCATCAAAGTCTTTTCCAGCCCAGGAAGAGTCTTATTCTGTAATAAGTTTAGAGAAAGAATTAACATTTCTCTGGCCAAGAGGTCGGAGTTATTGGCTTAATTCATCAGCTTCCCCGGGCCCCGCACCCCCCGCCAAAAAAAAATCTGTGCTTTGCTTTGGCCTAAGGGACCTGGTACAAGTCACAACATATCAGCAACATTAATAGAGAAGCTTGTGTGGTTTTCCTGCTTCTCTTAGAGGATTCAGCTGTTCTCAGGAACATACACGACTTTAAGGGAATTTTGTTTAGTCATGAAGCAAATGGCTTTTATGATTTTAAATGTTTCGATGGATGGATTTTAAAACACTTAAACAGGTCTACAAGTAGACAGATGAAACAGGCAGCACCTGCCTTCCTATTTAGAAAAAAAAACGGTTTTAAAATTCATTTACCGACTGTGTAAACACCAAAATGTTTTCTAGTAATGACGCACTGCAAGGCTTATTTGGAAATTTAAAACTCAGATCAGCATGATGCCACAGCAAATGAAGTCTCAAGATCCCTCCAAAGGGCGTTTCAGACTCTCCGGGCTTGGTGGAAGCCATTTAGATCTTTTTCTACCTATAGTTCATAATAAAAGCTACCGTTTCTTGGCCACATCCCATGAGCCAAGCCTGTTAAGTCTGCACACCAAAGTCTAGAGGTCTGTATTGTTACCCCCATTTTACAGATGGGGAATTGAGATTCAAAAGCACTATTACATAACTTGTTTACATTTTCATATCTGGTAAACCAAGAAAATGGGATTCAGGCCCCATGTCTTCAGGCTCCAGATGCCATGTTCTCAGCGAGGCACCAATGTCTTCTGTGTTACAGGTTATCGCCCCAAAATATATAAGGAAAAACATGGCACCATTTCCCCTCAGTAACGTATGTCATAATTTCATCAGACACTCCTCTTACAAACTACACATATGATTAAGGCTGTGTCTCTTTACCTAATGTCTAAAGGTACTTCTGAGGCTAAATAAAACTCACAGTTGGCCGGGTGCAGTGGCTCACATGCATAATCCCAGCACTTTGGAAGGCTGAGGCGGGCGGATCACCTGAGGTCAGGAGTTTGAGACCAGCCTGGCCAACATGGTAAAACCCCATCTCTACTAAAAGTACGAAAATCAGCTGGGTGCAGTGGTAGTTGCCATCATCCCAGCTACTCAGGAGGCTGAGGCCAGAGAATCACTTGAACCCGGGAAGGCGGAGGTTGCAGCAAACCCAGATCCTGCCACCGCACTCCAGCCTGGATGACAGAGACAGACTCCATCTCAAAAAAAAAAAAAAAAAAGACAAAGAAAACCTCACAGTTTTCTACTGTGAGTTTCATTTTTGAAACACTGATTCCTATTTTTTTTAATATATGTATTTGTTTGTCCCTTTTCTACCAATTGTTTATTTCACTCTACATGGCTTCATGGATCACACCAAAATCAATTTCTTTTCAGGAAAATACTGTCTTGGGAAAACTTAGGTTTCCACAAGAAACCTAGCAAAGAATTTGACAGATAGTGCCCGATTCATTACTCTTTCTCTTTTTTAAAAAAATGATTCCCCTCTACCAGAGAAGCTGCATTTCTAATCACAAAAATACCCATCTCTGAAAGTGATGACACCCTTCCCTTAGACTGAATGATCTGCTCTGGATGAAGAGTATGTGAGTACTTGCTGGGGGCTACGTTGTATGTCATACTTGGACCTCATGGGTAGGGGTCCGCTCTAAAGCAGGGAGTCCCCTGTGGAATGTAAATCAAGGTCCAGTGGGGCACTTGCCCACTTCCCAGGACAACAAAGCACTAAGAGGCCAGGAGCATGCCACCAACAGACCATCATTTCCTCCAGAGCAAAACGGCCTTTGTCAGCCACAAATTCTTTCAAGAAAAAGAGGGGCAAGTGGAAAAGCCATGTGCTTTGATCTTCTTCACTTTTCCTGGCAGTGCTGACCACCTGGGCAGCTCCAAACCTCCGGTCCAGTGGACTTAAAAACCTCTCATATTGCACTAACATTAGCCAGTTTTCCTATGCTAGAATCATATAAGCAAGAAAGCTATCGTCCTTCCGTTAGTCCTTCTCATAATCACGGGCAGGGATTCAGCATCCCACAGCAGGCTACCTAGTTCAGAAAACTGCTAGATGGATAGCTTGCCCCATACCCACAGGCAGTTCTCCCTGATTCAAGCCATGAAGGGCTATCCGATAAGATGCTGAATCCTATTCCTTTCGTATCTGAACAAACCATCTATACTCCTCAAGAATGTGTCAGGATTAACAATTTGGCTAGGCCTTAGAGATTCTGGCACATTAGCAAAATGACCAAAAGCCTGGGAATCAAAATTCGGTTGTGATCTGAAAATTCCAGCCAATGACAAAATTGAGCAATGCCGAAAACCTACCGCGATGATGGTCAAATGTTCCTCATTTCACAGATAATCTGTCCTGTAATGGGTGTCCAAGGTCAACGCTGTTTGGAACTGGGTTTCTTAGCAAGGGTGACCAATACATGTACTTCAATCTGGGGACCTCT